TCGGACTCTTCACGCCGAGCCTCTATCGATGCATATACTTGGTTAAACCCAGACGAGCAACTCCGCCCCTTTTCAATGAGAGTCTTTCCTGGGATCATTTCATTGTGACATCATGACCATATTATAAATTTATTTCAGTCTAGTTTTGGCATCACATTATGCGGATCTGAGCTGAGAGTTGCGTGTTAAATCAGCTACTCAAACTACTGATCGACGACAATTCACGAAATATCTCCAGGCTGTGATATAAGTTTCAGATTGGAAACTGAAAATGGCAAATGAAAAATCGACCACTTGTTCACGGTCTTTCAAGCTTGATGAGAGTTTTCGTTCTTTTGTGAATGTATTCACAGCGATGTGCTTGATCGCATGCATTATATCTCAAGTTTATATATACCACAAGTTTACAAGGATGGACGAACGCATTGATAATTTGGGAAACATAGTGGAGAAGATCGTTGTTGAAAGATCGTCTAAGTCCCATACAAATCAAACAGCCTTGGATGAAAACAATGTCGTGCGGGAAAGAAGGTCCGTACAACAAAGGGCCACTAATCTGCAAAGTCTGGCTAAGCGTGTGATCATGATTGAAAAGAGGTGAGCAGAAACGTCACCAGGGCGATTGATGAGCTTTAGACGCTTATCGGAATGAGGCTGAAGCAATGCTTTGAGTTTGTTTTCATGAAAAATTAGAACGGTATCTTTAAAAATCCTGTTAAAAACCAAAGACGAAGAAGTTGCCCCGTTGAGTATATTTTTAATTATTTTTTTTTTCTTATAAGAGCATTTCTTCTTCATTAGATTACAAGAATACAACAGAACTTCCGCTGAAAGGTGGATGTCAAGGTATTTTGTAAGAGGTCAGTTAAAATACTTAGCAAAATTTGGGATTTTTGAAAGAGGATAAAGAGGATAAAAATTCAAAATGCCGGCTCAAATTAAGGGTGGAGGTCAGGTGAAATCGTGACAATTTCCAAATCAAATGACGTCACCAAGTCACTCGAGCTATGAAATGTCAATGTTGATGAATTGTTTTAGGGGACGGGAGAGACTTGGCCGTTTCCTAGTCCCAGGTGACGACTGGAAATGAGAAGCTGCATCAATTTCATATCCCTACTATTACATTGCTGTTTTTTTTTTGAAAACTCATGTGCATGCCTTTCACTCTAAACTAACAGAAATGGTGCTATTGTAAAAAAGGAAAAAACTGTTTGAATGCAGAGGTCCACGCAACGTGTAAATATAACTGACTGGTTCCTCTTGCCGGATCGATGCTGTAGTCAGACGTCACTTAAAGTGTAAAATAAAACAAGTCTGAATGCAGGCAAAGGGCTAGATAGATAGACAGACAGACAGACAGACAGACAGACAGATAGATAGATAGATAGATAGATACAGATAGATAGATAGATAGATAGATAGACAGATAGATAGATAGATAGATAGATAGATAGATAGATAGATAGATAGATAGATAGATAGACAGATAGATAGATAGATAGTGCTGTGCCCTAGAGTACTTGTTTAAGAAAAGACATTTGAATTTGGCAAGGGACTCTGGTTTCCTCACATTACAAGGGAGTTTGTTCCATAGGATGGCGCCACTATAGCTAAAGTTATTTTTGTAATAATTTGTCCGTGCTAAAGAGTGCCTTACTCGCTTTATGGCACCGATGCCAAAAGATACTTTCTTTATTATCTTCTCCATATATGGCTACCCCAATCGAGATTATCATCGATGATCACTCCATAGCCGGCGTAGCTGGCGGTATTGTGTGGGTGCGAGATTACAGTTTTGGCGGCGGAGCCGTGTTTCAAAAAAAGGGAGTAAGGACGAGGCGGTTGAAATACCGCCTGCCAGAAAACCCCGGTATTTTGAATAGTCCGCACACCGGTGTGCGAGGAAACGGTTTGGTCGAGGGCCATACATATGCCAATCATGTTAGATGATCCTTCGCATATATTTCCCAATTAAGGGAGCAGATGGTAAACTGGAAAAGACGTAAGTGATTGTGGTTTCCCCTTTAAAAAGAGCATAACTGATGACCAAATTGCCGAAATGGCGTCTTTAAACTTCACAGCGCTGAAATTGTCTTTATTTAGCCGTAGGAAACAAAGGTGAAAGAAAATTAAAACACTTTACAACTGCATCTGAGATCAAATTCTATCAGGAACACCTACAGAAGAATAAACCACAGGAAATGGTTACTCAGTATGCACGTAACAAACCAGCTTCATGACCTTTTAATGTTAAGCCTAGTTTGGCAAAAAAAAGATTTACTCAGTCAAAGTTTAGAATGATACATGCACTGTGTAGTGCTAGTAACCTTCGCGCGAGAGCCGAGAAAATAAAAAAACCTCTGTTCAAGCAAACTCACAAGGTCACGTTTCACATTATCACGAGCTTAGGAGTCGTGTTTAGCCTGTCTCGCGCGAAAATAATCGGGTGTTCCAAGTTGCAGGTTTCTCTTTGATTTAATTGAGATCAGCTATGGTGACAAAATTGGGCGGCATTCGAAAAAGCATGGTTCTCTGGCAGGCGGTATTTCTCGCGGCTTCGCCGCTCGTGACGGCTCCGCCGCCAAATCTCACTCGACTACTACAAAATAACGGCTACGCAGGCTAATCACTCCAAGAGATTTAGCAGTAGCGACTAGGGTAACTCGAAAATCAGTAATTGCAAGTGTTGGGGAAACTCTTACAGTACTCAGCCTCTGCCGAGATCCAATTAACACGAACTCGCTTTTAGTCATTATTTAGAGTGAGTTTGTTTGCTCTTAGCCAATTGTGAACATTTTCTAAGTCTTCTGTTAGACTTACAGTACCTAGCCTCTGCCTAGCCTCCAATTAACATGAACTCGCTTTTAGTCATATTTAGAATGACTTTTGAACTTGAAGAACTTTTAGAGTGAGTTTTGAACTTGAACTTGTCTGAATACTGTGAATATTGTTGCTCGCGTATGTAAGATGGGTATCATCAGCGTACACCCGAGGCTCGCAATTTGACAGGCAGTTGGGAAGATCGTTAATAAATAATAGAAACAATAATGAACCTAAGATAGTACCCCGAGGGACACCACAACTTAAATAGCAACAGCCAGAGAGGAGACCATTGATGGAACACATTTTTGTGCGGTTCTCTAAATATGACTGAAACCAATGATGCGCAATACCATTAATACCGTAGAGGTTTAGTTTCGATACAACGATCTCGTGGTCCACCGTGTCGAAAGCCTTTTTTAAGTCTAGGAATACAACAGCACTGATTTTGCCACGGTCAATTATTTGCAATATTAAATGCCCAAGTATCCGTGGCTGATTTATTATAGGTCAATATTTCGGCTAACAAAATTAGCCTTCCTCCGGGCCAAGTGCACGATGTTTTCCCAACAACAACCCATTCTGCAATCCAACGCTTAAGAAATATCTTTAAAGAAGTACCTGTCGTCCCTTTCTGCCGTTCACCAAACCGTCGTGACCTGCTCGTTCGTGCAAAACTCGCAAACAACGACAGCACACCCGGCAAGCCCCCTGTCTGCACATTCCGTTGCAACTCCAGACATGGCTGCCTCACCTGCCCATACATTAACCATGGGAAAACATCATACACTTTCACCAACACTGGAGAAACAAGACAAATTAAATATCACATTACTTGTGACTCAACAAACCTAACATTATATGAACCAATGTAAAAGATGTAAAAAAAATCTTGGACTGTTTCTATTTCTATTTTTATTGTGTAATCATTTACCTGTATATTATTCTATCTAGTATTAATAATTATTGTTAATTATTAACCACTTATGTGAATTCTAAATTCAAATTTTAGGAGCCGTTAAAAGATATTTTTTCTCGGTATAGTTCTAGCCCTTAGGAAGGCTAATTTTGTTAGCCGAAATATTGGCCCATAATAATATTAAATCAGCCCTTTACCGTAGTGCCAGCCCTGCATTCAGAATTGTACTACTGTAAGTCTATCACTGTACATGACTTAGCCTCCGACGTGGACGTTCCACAGGGGCTCGTTTGGCTTTAAAAGAAAACGCGTGACGAAACACTAAGGATGTCACGGCATGGGAGGCATATGTGACTTTACTTAGTTTCTCTCAAATTTTCAGGTCGAGATGGAAGAGATGGAAGACCAGGTCCTCCTGGTAAGTTTATCTTGCAGATCTCATAGTTAGTCAATTGTAAACATGCCTTTGCCTGAATGCAACGTCAACGCGGCCATCGATCTTGTACTGAGTTAAATGGGCTAAATGGCTGCTTTTATTTGTCCCGCTTTAAGAGGTGGTTCATTTTCTCCTAAGAAGTCCTTATCAATGCTGTCAAAAGCCACATTATAGAACCCCAATCTGTATATTTCGCTTCAAATTTACCTAGGATAAGGCCTCGGATTTATTCTACGCGTAATCACTCACTTCTCTTAAGGAAAAGTGAGTGAACACACGAGCTCTCGTAAATATAACCCCAAGTGAGAAAGGCGAGGAGAAAGATATTTTTTCTCTCCTTACGCCTCGTCTTGCCTTTCTCCCTAAAGAAGGATTTTTACGCTGTCTCGTGCAAGGTTCCGTGTGAACGGGTTACACACAGGTAAAAAATTCTTCAGTTCAAAAATTTGTCCGGGCCCACGTAAACGGGGTCTTAGCTAACGTTAGCACTGCAGTGTTCGTATGGGAATGTGTGTTCGTATAGGAATGTGCTTAGTGTTACATGCAGCACGTGCAGGTTCCAGCCAGGGAAAAAAACTCTAACAGTCTAGTTACGTGAAAAAGCCTGTGCTTTAACGAAAAATTCAATTCAGCTGAGTTTATCTATCCACTAATGAAATATATTAGTTAGAAATGTCACGGTAAGTTTTGGGCTGATTTCAGTATAAAACTCTTACTGAACGAATAGGTATGCAGTGGTTTGTAAAAGAATGACATTGCTAACATGTTGTAGGAAAAGTTTTTAAACTATTCTCTTAAAATATCTAAAATATTCTCTCAAACTTACTCTATTACCTCCTTTCAGGCAGAGACGGGAAGGATGGTAAAGACGGTAAAGATGGAGGAGACGGCAGAGATGGAAGAGAGGGTCCCGCGGGACCTCGAGGACTTGCGGGACCACGAGGTATGACCCGGACGTTGAGCACAAACAAGCGAAATTAATTAATATTGGAACGTCTGAAAATACTTTACGACTTCCTCGTTGTTTAACATATCTTTCGGCGGAGCACTGAGGCTCTCCACCAAAATGAGTTTATTTATTTGTAGCGGGAAAGGAGATAACAGATTCACTGACGAAACGATATATAAATTACCCAAAAATATCCTTTGGCCTCAAAGTAACAGCAGGTATGTTTTCAGAAACTAACGAGGGTGAAGGTTTCTGAGTGCTTCATTGTGTACAATGGAACCTCGATACAACGAAGGGCTCCGTTGAACTTATACTGTCAGAGGTTCTCTATATCGAGATTCCACTGTCTCTGGTGAGTACGATCCGAAAAACTTTTGTGTAATACATGCCCAGTATGTGATGTTGTCTTTTATTTCTTCGGTTTTCGACCGACTTTAAAGGTAGGATGTGAGAAGGCTCCTTAGTGGGAAAAAAAGCGAATGAAAAAATAACGTTCGCAAAAATCGGTTCTCGTCAAGAAGCCTGGTCCCAGGCTATTAATTAAGGGTTCATTTTCGTACTCTTGTTTCATCTTCTTCTCCTTCTTGTAGTTGTAGTGAAGGTGATTATATATTCAGACCAGGAGGCTTTTAAGGTTCCCCCCTAAATCATCTGGGAACACTTTGGTCATAAGCACGTCAAATCACCCCATTGTGTCAATCATGGTATGCCTAGTACATAATTCTGTGCAATTTTGGTGTTCGTATCATGAGTGACTTTGGTCGCAGAAAGTAAAAACAAAAAGTCTGAATAGTGTTAAATACGGCGTCTTTGGTAACCGAGACAAAGATGGCAAATAACAAGTGCAATTCAAAATAATTAATAATGTAAGGATTTATAATCAAAGGTTATTCTCCTCTTCTTCACTCTCTGCACACTAATACTCACTGGCTATGGTTCCTTTTAAATAGGAGATGTTGGTAAAACTGGACGTGTTGGCCCCCAGGGTCCCCCCGGACCACCAGGAGAGAAGGGAAAGGGACTGTCAGGGGTGAAATACGTTCGCTGGGGAAGAACCAACTGCTCTGGAGATGCAACTGTAGTGTACAGTGGTAAGAAGACATTGTCCTTTTATCTATCTTCTCTCGTTAAACAGTTCATTTGCGATTATCAGTTTTCTTAACCCTCGGACGTACACGCAAATTCATACCCCCACCGTGGTACAACGGGGGGGGGGGGAATGGAACCCCTCCCCGGAGTTTTTGATCTGTTGCAGAATTTCGAAACGATTTTAGCCTTGGTGGAAAGCCTTTGATCTTCTTAAAGGGAACCTCCACTTCAACAAAAAGATAACTTTAAATCACAGGAAATAACTGTTACAGTCAAGTCAATCTAAAATATTTTTAAAGAAAGCGTTTGTATCCGAAAGAAATAACTTTTAGATTCGCCTATTTTTGTTTTCAAATTTTGCGGGCGTCGCCATCTTGAATAATTGTGAAGTGTTACGGTTGCCCCATTGTTATTAAACAAAAGCTCTTTGTGTCAGAACAATAGAGCAACCATAACACGTCACAATTATTCAAGATGGCGGCGCCCGCGAAATTTGAAAGTGAAAATAAGCAATTTTAAAATTCACTTTTCCTGATATAATCACTTCTTTTAAGGACAAATTTCGAACAAATTTGTTTATCAACATAATTTTATTCGATTTAAACTTATTCTGTAGTAAGAGTGGAGGTTCCCTTTAACAAGATGAGGTATATTTTATGGGTGGTGGCGCTGCTGGAGGCCTGTGAGGTCACCAACAATGGTCGCCATCTTCGATTTTACCAAGAATTAGAAATCAGGCTAAAACCGCGAGAAATAGTAATTTTTTGTGCTTTACATGAATAATAACACATAAATAAGCACTTTGCATGATTAGCCACAAGATTTACTTTTAATGTGTAAGAAGTTGTAAAAACATGTATTTTAACCCAAAAATGGCTCGACCACCTGCTACTTATGACGTCATATCTTGTAAGCATAGCAACTGACCATCACTGAACTTGTCTCAAAAAGTGCGCAAGCGATAAACAAACAGCTACTGAAAACATCACGTGCTGATGTTTTATGCTCTAGGAAAAAAACTCAGAAAAACCGCACGGGGGTGGCATCCACCCCTTCCCCCCTTGTACGTCCGAGGGTTAAGCATTATTAGAAAGTCTTATAATTAAAACTAGCAATACGTTTATCGCCAAAACCTCGCGAGAAGGCCGTAAAGGGGTTGCAGTGAGAATAGAGGGAAACAGGCCAAAGGGAAGAAGTATGATTCAAAGAAAAACATATTAAACTTAACGGGAAAAAAATGTATCTCAAATAAACAAGAATCAGCTTGGCCGAGAGTCGAACTTGAACCATCTTTCGACTCCTAGACTATTGATCCACGCTGCCGTAATTTCCATAATTTTTAATGTTTTGCTACAGAAAGGCCTTACAGCTGCAATCGCTTTGTGAGGAACAACACAAATTAAAACTCGTTTTTGTGGGCGTTTTTACCTGTTTTGGTATTTTAAGGCTTGTGGTAATATTTCTAAGCTTAATTTAAGAGTTCGTGAATGGAAGTTTTAGTCGTATTTTTCGGGCTTGTTTTCCTGTTTCATGCATCTCAGGCGTGTTAGAGCAAATTGCGGAGATCTGGGCGTTTTTCAAAAACTCTCCTACGGTAGACGTCGGTGTAACTTAAGGTTGATTTCCACAGACGCGGTTTTGGCTACGCACGTTAACGCAGGTAAATTTTAATCACGTAAATAAAATAGAGGCAAGATAAAAATGGCTGAGCTTAAACGAGAAGTTGAACGAGGGTCAACTTTTACGCTTACGAGCGACCTTTCATGCATTGCCTCTATTTTATTTGCGAACGTACACTTTACTCAAGTACGTAAGTAAAAATTACGCGATACTGGAAATCAACCTTTGGAATGCAAAGTTGTTATAAAACAACGTAACTTATGACGTCACAAATGATAGAAGCGGCTTTATCGTAATTGAGTGGTTAATTCATCATTAAACTCTTTGCCAGGAGGATATATACCGTAAACCCCGCAGATAAAACCTGGTTTTTAATTAAGAACCAGCTAACTGAACCCGATATGATATGCCAGTTAAAAGCCTCCTCAATTCAAGAAGTTGTTTAGCCTAAAATCTGGAACAGGTTTTCATTTTCTAAAATCTATTTTTAAAAAAATGTGTACACGTACTAAGGTAAATAAGTCAACATTCAAGAATGAGATAGGTGCCTTTAAGGCACCTATGTCATAAGTTATCACTCCAACTTAGAATATGGAATAAGCTGAAGACCACTACTCTTAGCTACAATGTATTTTTTCTTTTGAAAATAAGAGTCTATTTAAGTACCTAAATAGCTTAAATTTGAGCTAATTATACCTTTTATTTAACAACCTGTTTCATAGAGCTTACTTAGGAAAGTTGCAGATTCTCACTCGTAGGTTTTTACTGTAAACTCGTTACTTAATTTAATTCATTTTCAGTGTGAATGAAATTTAAATGACAAAAAGTTTCAAAGAGCTTTCTTGTCTTTAGGTCTAATGGGTGGCGAACGATACAGTCACACTGGAGGTGGAGTGAACTATCTTTGCCTTCCAAACACTCCAATTTACGACAGATACAGCGACGGCGCTCAAACTGTAGGATACGTTTACGGCACCGAGTATGAAGTTGTGTCCTACAGTGGGTATCCTCTCAGACGAAATCTCCATGATCATGAGGCGCCGTGCGTTGTCTGTTATGTCAAGTCACGTGGCTCAATGCTGATGATGCCTGCAAGGAATGATTGTCCATCTGGGTGGACCAAGGAGTATCAAGGGTATCTGATGACTTCTTATCACGGTCACAAAAACCAAAAAGACTTCGTCTGTGTTGACAAAGACCCACAGTATGTTCCAGGGTCCCATAAGGATATGGATGGTGCCTTACTGTACCACGTTGAAGGGCAATGTGGCTCTCTTCCATGTCTTCCATATGTTCAATATCGAGAGCTGACATGCGCGGTGTGCACAAAGTGATAGTGAACGTTGCACAAACCTTATGTAGGCGAAAACACTGCAGCCCAAAAGCTCAAGAGTATGTTTTTATCATAAAAGATACATTGTAATGAAAAAGGCAGACAACGCAGTGTCTTTTCTATCTAGTAATAGACTTGAAACTCTATCAGCTCTTTTACAAAACGGTGTTCTTGATAATATTTCCACCGTAGATCAATTGTATGAGTATATCCTTTGGTACTTCGGTGGTCTGATGCCAGTGCAGTTTAAGTTCATTGCAGGTTATATTAATTATTTATGAAAAATTAATACGGCCGTTCGGAATACCTGAAGGTTCTGTTGGTTGTTTTGTGCTGCTTTGGTGGTTATTACAGACAAAGCAATTGTACTATAGCATAAAGTATCCTTACACATCCGGATAGTTAACTAATGTAGGTAGAAACGAATTCTTAGCTAAGTAAGATACTAAAATTTTTTGAGACTTCAATAAGATAAAAACATCAGGACTCTTTCTGAGTAGAACTAATACGGTACTTTTTCTAGGCAAAATGAAACACGCGGACAGTTTTACGAAAATTTCAGCCAGAAAAAAGGCTCCCGAAAATTCTAGGTGACCTTTTTAGGGTAAAAATCCGTTAAAAATAGGCAATTATACCATTTTGTAGATGTTCGAAAATCGTAGGAGAGGCAGACAAGCAAGAAATTTTACAACAAATGTTTCGAAAATTCTAGATCTCAAATCGTCTTCCTAACAGATATTCTTCCGAAAATTCTTGTTGGGTGCCCCTGTCTAAAGGTGTTACAAGAGACGATTCACAACGACGACTTTTAGCGCAACACAGCGTTGCAACATTGTTGCGACATTGTGCTGTTTCGAATGGCCACAACATTGCTCCAACATTGCAGCGCTGTGTTGCGCTAAAACTTGTCGTTGCGAATGGTCCCGTGTAACATCATCTCAAGACAATGGCCACACTCACTTGTAAATTACACTTGTAAAAGTTTTATTTAATTGGTCCCTAGCTCTTAGCAAATCTATTACAATATTGAGAAAGATGATTGCTGATATGCAATAAACTGAGACTTTAAAAAAGAGGTTTTTAGAGTAGTACATGTAAGAGCTGTAGTTTTTCATTTTTTGATTATTTTATTTTCATTATTTTATATGTTTGCTCATAACTCTGTTGATTAACCAGTAGTTCAGTTCTACGGTATATTTCTGACTTTTCACACCCATCCTTTATCGATGCATATACATCAGGTTAAAGATATTTTGGTTTTTTCCTAATCATACGAGAGGATACCAAAATCTGTGAAGTACACCAGACGAGCAACGCGTTTAACTCCCTTTACGATAAGAGTTTTCCCCAGGGTCATTTCATCGTGACATCATGACTTTTAAGTCTGGTTTTGGCATCACATTAAAATAAGAACTTTATTTTAGCAGCTTTTAGCACGATAAGAAGATCAGCATTGCTGGTGGGGTCGTGCATTGTGTGGATCTGAGCCGGTTTAAGTGTTAAATCAGCTACGCACACTGCTGATCGACAATTCGCGAAATATCTCCAGGCTGTGATATCAGTTTCTGAAATGGAAAATGGCAAATGAAAAACCGACTACTTGTTCAAGGTCTTTAAAGCCTGATGAGAGTTTTCGTTCTTTTGTGAATGTATTCATAGCGATGTGCTTGACTGCATCCATTATATCTCAAGTTTCTGTGTGCGTTTATATGTACCACAAGTTTACGAGGCTGGACCAACGCATTGATAATCTGGGAAACATAATTTAGAAGATCGTTGTTGAAAGATCATTTAAGTCCCATACAAATCAAACAGCCTTGGATGAAAACAAAGTCGTACGGGAAAGAAGGTCCGTACAACAAAGGGCCTCTAATCTGCAAAGTCTGGCTAAGCGTGTTATCGTGATTGAAAAGAGGTAAGCAGAAACGCCACACGAGCGATTGACTAGAGTTAGCTTTTGACACTTGTCGAAATAAGCCCGAAACACTGCTCTGTGTTTGTTTTCATGAAAAATTAACACGGGATCCTTAAAAAGTAGAGACGAGGAAGTTTCCCCATATATTTTTTTTTAGATCTGTTAAATCTCTTAAATGCCAAGAGGTGACAAGGTGAAACTGAGCATTTCTTTTTTATTAGATTACAAGAATACAACAGAACTGCTGCTGAAAGGCGGATCTCAAGGCATTTTGAAAGAGGTCAGTAAAGATAACAAAATAATGCTGTACCGTCATACTTCGCAAAGTTTAAGATTTTTAAAAGAGGATAAAAATTCAAAATGGCGGGTCAATAGTGGAGGTCATCTGAAATCGTAACAATTTCCACATCAAATAACGTCACCAAATCACTCGAGGAACCATGACAACAACCAGATGTTTCAATATTCCCACGTGAGTACATAGTATTACCTACATTATTTATGTAATAAATCTCAAATTAAAATACCCCTATAATATTATTAAAGAAGTTTTTGTCAATGTTCCATATATGAATGTATGTAAGCAGCTGTAAGTCTGTAGATGTAGGAGGATCCACATTATTAGATATGAAGAGGATTTTTTCATTGTTGTCAAAATTATTACTGTGAAACTCACAAAAACGTGAACACGAGAAATATTTATGGAATGTTATCGTGTTGCGAGAAATAAGCCAATAAGACTTATTTTTTGAACGAGTTTTTTAGCTCTTTGACGTAACGTGTTAAAATAAATGATTGATTGATTGATTGATACCTAAACTGCAAAAAGCAACGGCAATTAGTTTGTGGTTTTGAGGTTTGCTTGTATATCCTGAACTTTGTTGTGATTGGCCAGTACACAATCAACATTCCTGAAATTTTTCAGGTGTGCACGGTTTTCTGAGTTTGACAGTAAAAAGGAGATATCCATTACTAATGTTTGGGTGGACGGGAAAGACTCGGCCATTTCCTAGTTCCAGATGACGACTGGAATTGCGGAGCTGCATAAATTCGATGTCTCTGCAAATCAGTTTTCTTTCAAAACTCCTTTGCATGCCTTTTACTCTAAACAGAAATGGTACTATTGTAAGTCCATCACTCAGGTCACTGTTCCTCAGGGGGATTGTCTCTTGTTAGAGGAAAACGCTTGACGATGTTCTAAGAATGTCTCCCTGGGGGACACATGTGACTAGTACGTAGTTCCGCTCAAATTTTCAGGTCGCGATGGAAGAGATGGAAGACCAGGCCCCCCTGGACCGGCTGGACAGGCAGGTCTTCCAGGTAAGTTCATTTTGCAGAACTTATAGCAAGTCAACTGTAATTAACGTAAATGACCTGATAAACGCCCCGTGCGTCTATTTAAGTTTAGGGGTCCAAGCGGGGGTGCTTAATAGATAAGAGGCGTTTATTTGCATAACTGCAACAAGCTCAACAAAACGATATCAGAATCCTCGCTCAAGGTCATTTTGATTCCATCGTTAGTCTATCCTTACTTGGAACTTGACATTGAACAAGATGAAATACGCAAACCCTGGTTAAACAAGCAATTGCAAGAAACTATATGAATTGCTCCATTTTGCTAATTCCTAGTCTTTTGGAGGTATTCTCACAGGAGACGTCTATTAGACAGGGGGCATTTATTAGGCAAATGCGTTTATTTGAAAGTGGGCGTTCATTAGGTCATTTATGGTATGACTAATGACAATGCAACTCCACCTTGCGGCTGTCAGGTCCATATATAGAGCGCTTTCACATGACGTCACGGCGGCCATATTCGTGTTCCAAAACAATGAAACGGCGGCCGTGTTGGTGTACCAAGAAAATCCTCTAGGCGTTTAACTCTTTTCTCATGTAAATGCTTTCTTTTGTTGTAATGAATTAGCACAGATGCTGGCCACGTGAGCGAAAACGCTCTTTTCGGCCATCGATCTTGTAGCTAAAATGGGCTAAATGGCCGCTTTGATTTGTCCCGCTTTAAAAAGCCGTGCAGTTTCTCCCAAGAAAACCTCACCAATGCTATTAAAGGCCACATTGTAGAATCCCAACGTGTATATTTGGCTTCAAATTTACCTAGGATAAGGCCTCGAATTTATACTACGTGTAGTCACTGATCTCTCCTTAGGGAAGGAAGAGCGAGTGAAACAAGTGAGCTCTCGTGAATATTACCCAAGTGAGAAAGGCGACAATAAAGATTTGTTTCTCTCTCCTTAGTCTCCTTACTCGGCGTCTTGCCTTTCTCCCTAAAGAAGGATTGGATCACTTTAGGTTCTGGGAAACTGACCACCCACCCCTCCCCTACGTCAACATCATCACTTACTTCCCACTTAGGGCAAACTGTTGGCTTAGGGGAGGGGTAGGTGGGAAGTTTCCCACCAAGGGTTTTTACGCTGGCTCGTGTACGGTTCCATGTAAACGGATTGCACACAGGTAAAAAATTCGTCCGTTCAAAAATTTGTCTGAACCCATGTAAATGGGCTCTAGCTAACGTTAGCACTACTGTTTTCGTATGGGAATGTGCCCACGCAGCACGTGCATTAGCGTAGATTCGAGCGAAGAAAAAAAACACTTTAACAGTCTAGTTTCGTGGAAAAGCCTGCGCTTTAACAAATTCAGTTCCGATCAGTTTATAAATTCAATTCTAATGAAATATAAAAGTTAGAAGTGTGTCATGGCAAGTTTTGCGGCTGATTTATATCAAAGTTTCACTGAACTAACATATGCATGCAGTGGTCTGTAAAAGAATAACACTGCTAACATTTTTTATGCAAACAAGAAAACTGAAATGAATATTCTCTCAAACTTAGGATTTCCTTTCAGGCAGAGACGGGAAGGACGGTAAAGACGGTAAAGATGGAAGAGACGGTAGAGATGGAAGAGAGGGTCCCGCGGGACCTCGAGGTATGACCCAGACTTTGACCACATACCGTGTTGCACAAAATTTTTGCGGGTTCTAATTTTTGCGATTTTTGCGATTTTTTCAGCGATCCGCAAACATAAGTTCCCGCAAATAAAAATTACCGCAAACATTTTTCCAGCAAACATTTACTCCAGAGTAAATATTCTCCAACTTAAATTCGCTACAGAAAAATGCGGAAGTAAAATATCGTGTCCGTTCAATTGCAACTTGCCTCAAAATGGTATACAATGGTTTTACATACACACATACCGTAGTACTATTTGAAAATTCGTATTTATGTATACACGTACTTAACAAAAACGAAAATATTATCAATACTGGGTACTGGGTACTTCGTGAAAATGGCAAAAATTAGTTCCCAACGAGAAAAACCAATCTGTCTCCACAAAAATGATTTTTTTTATTTGTAGGAAACGAAATAATAGATTCACTAACGAAACGATATATAAATTACCTGAAAAACATATCCTTATAACTAAAAGTAACAATGTAACAGCAGGTATGTTTTCAAAAACTAACGACAAGATGGAGGTTTCTGAGAGTTTCATTATGTGCAGTCATACCTCGATACAACGAAGGCCCAACTGACTGGCAAAATGTGCTCGCAATCAAGGCTCTTTTTCATATGTAACTATTACTAACTGGAGGGTGAAGAAAATAATTCGTTATGTCGAGGGCTTCGTTTAACTTATACCTACTTGGGTTTAACTTATACCTGCAGGGGTTTAACTTATACCTGCTTGGGTTTAACTTATACCCACAGGGGTTTAACTTATACCTACTTGGGTTTAACTTATACCTACAGGGGTTTAACTTATACCTACTTGGGTTTAACTTATACCTACAGGGATTTAACTTATACCTACTTGGGTTTAACTTATACCTACAGGGGTTAAACTTATAACCACAGGACTTTAACTTACACCTACAGGGATTTAACTTATACCTACAGGGCTTTAACTTATACCTACAGAGATTAAATTTATACCTACAGGGGTTTAACTTATACCTACAGGGCTTTAACTTATACCTACAGGGATTTAACTTATACCTACAGGGGTTTAACTTATACCTACAGGGATTTAACTTATACCTACAGAGCTTTAACTTATACCTACAGGGGTGTAACTTATACCTACAGGGGTTTAACTTATACCTACAGGGATTCTTTATATCGAGATTCCACTGTCATGTATTTTTGTGGCGCTTTCTCATGAGTACGATCGCAAAATGTTTTCGCAATACAGACTGTGATGTTGACTTTTCATTTCTTCTTAGTGGTAAAAAAGCGAATACAAATAAGGGGCGTAAAAATCTGTTCACGTCAAGGAGCCTGGTCCCAGGTTACGAATTAAGGGTTCATTTTCGAACTCTTGTTTCATCTTCTTCTCCTCCTTGTAGTTGTAGTGGCTGTATTTATATATTCAGACCAGGTGGCTTTTAAGGTCCCTCCTTGCTAAAAAGTTCAATAACTTCAACACCGTTGAAGCTATGACCACCAAAACCATCTGGGAACAGTTTTAAAGTCGTCATGGCGTGTACGTCAATAAATTCAACAAAATGACGTCATAAGGACGTCAAATCACCTCATTGTGTCAATCATGTTGCGCCTTGTACATTATTCTGTGCAATTTTGGTGGCCGTATCAAGAGCGGCCTTTAAGTTATAGAGCAATGCTTCCGAAACCCCCTACCCCCGTTCACAAAAAGTAAAAACAAATGGTCTGAATAGTGTTAAATGTGGCGTCTTTGGTAACACAGACAAGGATGGCAAATAACAAGAGCAATTTAAATTGGATTTATAGCCAAGGGTTGTACCCCGCTTGTTTGCTTCACTCTCCACTCACTAATACTCACCCACGATAGTTCTTTTTCAATAGGAGAGGTTGGTAAAACAGGAGGCGTCGGTCCTCAGGGTCCCCCTGGACCACCGGGAGTGAAAGGAAAGGGAATGTCTGGGGTGAAATACGTTCGCTGGGGAAAAACCAACTGCTCAGGAGATGCAACGGTGGTGTACAATGGTAAGGAGACATTATCCTTTTATCTACCTTCTCTCGTTGAACAATGTATTTGCGATTATCAGCAGGTTTGCGAAGCATTATTAGTAGGTCGTATGTCAATATTAACGCTAGCAATACGTTTATCGTAAAAACCTCGCGAGGAGGCTGTAAAGGGACAGTAGTAAGAATACAGGGAAACTAGCCAAAGGATTCAAAGAAAAAAACAAAAACTGAACTGGAAAAAATGTATCACAAATAAAAGGCTTTGCCGAGAGTCGAACCTCAACCATCTGCTTCTAAGGTCGACTCCTAGACAACTGAACCATGCTGCAGTAATTCCGTAATTTATAAACCTTTGCTACAGGAGGGCCTTACAGCAATCGCTTTGTGAGGAACAACATGAAAACTCGTTTTTGTGGGCGTTTCCACCTGTTTTGGTATTTTAAGGCCTATGGCAATATTTTCAAGCTTATAGTGATGGCTGGAAAGTGGGTCTAGAGTTCCTGAATGGACGTTTCAGTCGTATTTTCGGGCATGTTTTCTCTTTACATGCATCTCAGGCGTGTTAGTCGAGCAAATCGCACAGATTTGGGCGTTTTTCAAAAAAATATCCTAAAGTAAACCTTCAGCGTAACTTAGAAGTCAAAGTTGTCGTAAAATAGCGTAACGTATGACGTCACAAATGGACCGTAGTTAGGGTGGTTGCAGGAACAATATCGTGATTGAGTGGTTAATTCATCATTAAACGTATTGCCGAGAGGATATATACAGTAAAATCCGCAGGTAGAAACCTGGGCCCAGTTGTTCGAAGGCCGATTAGCGCTTAACCTGGGGTTAAATTTAACCCTGGTTTCTTTGTCTTGTGTTCAAAAGTATTTTCCCGGATAATTTTCTCTGTTATTTTTAGACCTTCCAATCATCAACTTGTAGACAAAAAGAATTGAAACTGAAACGCTTTTTAATTTTAAGCTTTAAAATCTGAATTCAAATCGCGCACAAACCCTGGGTTATCCTAGCTTAACCCAGCTTCGAAGAACTCGGCCCCGGTTTTTAAGAACCAACTAGAACCTATAAGGTTAAAATTTTCCAGTTAAGCCCCCTCAATACAAGAACCTATATGTTTAGCCTAAAATTTAAAACAGGTTCTTTTTTTTAATTCTATAATAAAAAATTGACGATGTGTACACTAATAGGTAAATAAGTCAACATTCAAGAATGATCCTCTTTGGAAACAAAGATACTTTTACTTACCTCTTTCACTTCTATGTAATCGTATGCAGCTATTTCATATAAGGAATAAGCTGACGACCACTACCCTTAGCTACAATGTATTTTTTCTTCAGAAAATAAGAATCTATTTAAGAACCTAAATAGCTTAAATTTGAGCTATTTACCTTTTATTTAAGAACCTGTTTCATAGGGCTAGCTTAGGAAAATGCACGTCTTCGCGCGATGGTATTTACTGTAAACTCGTAATACTTAAGGTGTTTCGATACAGTTTTTCAGAGGCAATACCGATATTTTTCAATCGCCTTAAAAGTGGTGTTTTCCTTGTCCAATCGCTATAACATTTTCACCAGTAATTGGCTATGGATTGAAATTTGTGAAAATTTAGTTTTAAGTAAAATCGATATTACTATGACAACAATAAAGAAACAACTTTGAAATTGATAAAAGCCGAATTTTGTGTGATCTAGACCTGCTACTGAAAATCCAACACTAGGAACTTAGAGTCTGGTGTTTAGCAAACAATCTCCGTAAGAAGCAAAAAATTCTGTATGTGTGAATTCGACTAAAACGAAAATATATTTCAAACCTTAAATTTTCAATAGCCGTGATAGATTATTTAATAAAAACGTTATAAATGACTCAAATTATTCTTAAGTAGCGTCAGAATGCTGCTTAATATCGTATTTTGATGCTGGGAAATTTTGGCTTACTTTCGTTCTTGCGATCTTGAAAACTAACCCGTTTTCTCACCACCTGTATAAGTGCAACTTCATTCAGAATTTGGACTTTTAGCGCTTTCTTGTATATCTCCGAAACGACTCGAACGAATTTTTTTAAAATCTGTTCACATAATCTTCATAATGTTTATAAAAATGTCTGAAACTTTTATTAAGATTGATTCACTGCAACACCTTAAAATTTCAAGACAAACCTATCCTACGAACCGGTCAAAAATCTGCGTTGCAACATTCACTGTTTTGACGTTATGCTAATTTTTCCAAAATAATGGGCACTATACATACCCCCATGACTAGTACATTTTAGTTTGAATTTATCGCGTCTTTTAAATGTAAAACATTGACAATACTCACACTGAAATGTACGAGTCATGGATATATCTATTGTCCGCATTAATTTGGAAAAATTAGCATAACGTCAAAACAGTGCATGTTGTAGCGCGGATTTTTGGTTTGTCTTGAAATTTCAAGGTGCTGCAGTGAATCAATCTCAATGAAAGTTTCAGACATTATTATATACATCATGAAGATTATGTGAACAGATTTTAAAAAAATTCGCTCGAGTCGTTTCAGAGATATACAAAAAAAGCGCTAAAAGTCCAAATTTTGAATGAGGTTCCACTTAGATAGGTGGCGAGAAAAAGGGTTAGTTTTCAAGATCGCAAGAACGAAAGTAAACCAAAATTTCTTAGCATCAAAATATGATATTAAGCAGCATTCGGACGCTACTTAAGAATAATTTGAGTCATTTATAACGTTTTTATTAAATAATCTATCACGGCTATTGAAAATTTAAGGTTTGAAATATATTTTCGTTTTAGTCGAATTCAAACATACAGAATTTTTTGCTTCTTACGGAGATTGTTTGCTAAACACCAAACTTTAAGTTCCTAGCGTTGGATTTTCAGTAGCAGGTCTAGATCACACCAAAAAACGGCTTTTATCCGTTTCAAATTTGTTTGTTTATTGTTGTCATAGTAATATCGATTTTACTTAAAACTGAATTTTCACAAATTTCAATCCATAGCCAATTACTGGTGAAAATTTTATAGCGATTGGACAAGGACAAAACCATGGCCACTTTTAAGGCGATTGAAAAATATCGGTATTGCCTCTGAAAAACTGTAGCGAAACACCTTAATTTAGTTCATTTTCAGTGTGAATGAAATTTAAATGACAAAAAGTTTCAAACAGCTTTCTTGTCTTTAGGTATAATGGGTGGCGAACATTACTCTCACACTGGAGGTGGAGTGAACTATCTTTGCCTTCCAAACACTCCAAAGTACGACAGATACAGCGACCGTAATCAAGACACAGGATATATTTACGACACCGAGTATGAAGTTAGTTCCTACAGTGGGTATCCTTTCAGACGAAATCTCCATGATCACGAGGCGCCTGTGTTGTCTGCTATGTCAAATCACGTGGTTCAATGCTGATGATGCCCGCACGAAATGATTGTCCATCTGGATGGACCGAAGAGTATCATGGGTATCTGATGACTTCATATTACGGTCACAAAAACCAAAAAGACTTCGTCTGTGTTGACAAAGATCCAGAGTATGTTCCTGGGTCCCATAAGGATATGAACGGTGCTTTGCTGTACCACGTTGAAGGGCATTGTGGCTCTCTTCCATGCCTTCCATATGTTCAGTATCGAGAGCTGACATGCGCGGTGTGCACAAAGTGAGAGTGAACGTTGCACAAACCTTATGTAGGCGAAAACACTGTAGCCCAAAAGCTCAAGAGTATGTTTTTATTATAAAAGATATATTGTAATGAAAAAGGCAGACAACGCAGTGTCTTTTCTATTTAGTAATAGACTTGAAAATCTATCAGCTCTTTTACAAAACGGTGTTCTTAATAATATGTCCAACGTAGATCAATTGTATGAGTATATCCTTTTGTGCTTCAGTGGTCTGATGCCAGTGTAGTTTATGGTCATTGCATCCTATATTAATTTTTCACGAAAACTTCATACGGCAGTTCGAAATATA